AGAAGCCGTCCTGGAGCTGGTTTTAAAAGTAATTAGAGTCTTGTCTCTTTAATTTAAAACTCGGTAGCGTTTTGCTCACAACCTTCTTTCATGAAGCCAGCGCGGGTCCCTTGGCAGACTTAAGGACACTGGAAAGGCTGAGCATTATTAGGTTTAATGGCTACTAAATTAATCCCTTCAGTGTTTTTAACATAAAAAAAATTTATAATAATGTCAAAATATTCCTTCCCTGTGACAATAAGCCCCAGAATTACCTAGATGCTTAGTAATGTGAAGGATTAGTTAAGACTAAGAAAACAAGAACGAGAAATCAGATTTTCAAATAATATTTGAAATATATTATCTAGCCACAACAGAGGAAGCGCTTATACCAGAGCCAGTGAGTTGATTGGATTACTGCTTGTGTTCATTATTTCTAAGCAAAACAACTTCTCAAAATGGAAGAATGACCAGGCCCTCATATACACTAATCATTTAAGCTCAAGTAAAACTCAAAAGAGGCAAACCTCCTCCTTATACCTAGTTCTTTGCTTACTAGATTTCAAGATAAAAGCAATGACAACATCCACTAGACTAGAAAAGAAGTTGGGCAAAACCATCAGGGAAGAATATAGTTATGTTTCCATCATTGGTGAAAAACGTCTCCCCGTGTGACAAGACATGAGCAACTAATACCATGAATCCATCATGATTAGAAAAACATAAAAACCCTTTGTTTCATTTTCAGTACATCATTTAGCACATATTAGTAATTTATAAATATAAACTCTATATATTGAGAAGTGAACAGTCTGAAAACTTTAAATCATTGCTCCATAGCAATGTACATTAAACTTTTAGGAATATGGACCCTTTGCAGAATCTGGTGAAAATAGTGCGTACTCTCCCTAGAAAATTGCATATGACTTTAAGTAAATAGATATTCATGCTAACCATACAAGAGCTTGGTGCATCCATCAAGTCCATTCACATAGCTTGCAAGGGTCCATGTACTCCATGATAAGGATACTTGCTCTTCTTAGAGATGTCAGTTTATCTTCAGTTTAGGTTAAAGTACAGTGAACTCTCTATTCCCTCTTCCTAAAGCGAGCTTCTCATATCCTTGGACAAGAAGAAGATGTAATGGAAAAGTCGGTGAGTCTCCAAGAGGACTTCACACTCGCTGCACACGCCCTGACTGGGCAGCAGAGGGCAGTGGAGCGCTAGAATAGCCCGACCACAGCACCCAAGGGGCAGCTGTGCGGGGTTTGCCCACTAAAAAGAGGGCATGGGGGCTGGTGTTGTGGCTCGGTGGTAGAGCACTTGCCTGGCATGTGTGAGCCACTGGGTTCGATCCTCAGCACCACATATAAAATAAATAAATTAAATAAACGTTTAAAAATAAAAAAGACAAGAGGGAAAATTTTAAAAAGGAGAGGAGGAGGAGGAGGAGGAGGAGGAGGAGGAAGGCATACACCTTAGAGAGCAGAATAGTTGTTACCAGAAGCTGGGGAAGGGAGCAGGGAGGACAGGCAGGGAACTGTTGGCCAACAGGTACAATACTTCAAGTAAATAGGAGACATAACCACTAGTGTGTATTGCATGGCAGGGTGACTAGAGTGAACAATAATGTACTGTGATTCCAAAACAGAAGGAGATTTTGAATGTTCTCACCACAAAGAAATGATAATCCTACAAAGTGATAAATATGCTGATTACCCTGGTTTATTCATTACATTATGTATGCATGTATTGAATATCATATTGTATCCCATAAATATGAGTGGTTAATGTGTACCCCAAAAAATTAATTTTAAAAAAGAAGAGAGATCCAGTTATTCTCCTGCCAAACTGAGCACCTGAGCTCTGGCTAGATTAGCATGGTCATACGAAAAATGGGACAAAAATACCTAAATTAAGCTACCAAAGGTCATCTGGGGGGTAAAAAACAGCACATATTATCTAAATCTAAGCAATTAAAATAAAATTACTACTGCAGTACAACACATTTTGGCCCAAAGCTTTCCTCTCAACAAAACAGAATATCTTTCAAATCACAACCCTGAGCCACACCCTGCTGCACCTCCGCTCAGTATCTACCCCATCCTACACCTACTCAATACCCTCCCCTTTTCCTTTCTCACTCTCTCCCTTCTGCTCACCTACACCCCACTATGAGCCCACTCACTACCCACACCCTGCACCACCCCACTCGGATTCCAAGCTGCCAGCCCCCTCCACCTTCATATGCCACTCCCTCCCTGCCTCTCACTCCAAATACTACAAATATCAAGAAATCATTAAAAGAAAAAAAAGAAATCATTAAAAGAATTGACCCTGTTGTCATAATCTGCATTTTCCTGCAGAAATATGGATATGGATTTTCCTCCCATTTATTGAAATCTTTCATGAATTTCAGTTCCTCTGAGCTTGCTTGCCCCGTCCCCCAGGGCTTCATACACTCCAGGCATGCTCTCTACCGCTGAGCTATATCCCCAACCCTCATCAGCTCCTTATGGCTCCTATTATTCTTTTATTTTGTATGTGTTGTTGTGAACAAAAGTTTTTGCATTACATATTCAAAATGTTCATTTTTTAAAAAACAATTTATATTTATTTTTATATACAAGGCCACTGTCCTAAACTCTTGCTTCTAAGTCTTTGAAGTGATTCTCATGAGCATCTCTTAAAACGTTTTTACTAAAATCACAGTAAGAGAAGTGGTGTTTGATAGTGTTGAAATGAGTCAGAAGTGAAGTCCCATGCCCCTACCCCAGCCTGTTTGTCACCCCACCAAGTCCCCCGCTCTCCCTGGGCTGACCTCTTGATTGGACATGTCCAGGGTCTTTTTCTGCCAATCAGGACCTGGTGCCACCACATCCAATGCTCCCTCTTGCTTAAAAGGTGTCCTCTGGAGGTTGGGGGCTTAGCTCGGTGGCAGAGGGCTTGCCTAGCATGTGCAAGGTCCTGAGTTTGGTCCTTGGCCCTGGGTGGGGATGGGGAAGAAGGTACCTCTGGCTGATCTTAAAACAACTCTCTAAGAGCTTTGCCAGAACACATGAGGGGTCATTAAGCTTGCCAGCACCTCCTCTAGCTGGTGTTGGTGTGGGCCATAGGCACCCGAAATGATATAACAAGGAGAGGCGACTGGTTTTCCACAAGCCTCGAAACTCTTAAAAAGCTCTGTTGCCTTTCTTCTCTCTGAGTTGGGTCACATTTGACGTAAAACCCTTCACAGAGGTCTTGGGATCAGGAAGGAAGGAGCCTGAGGGAAAGCAGACACTGGTGGCAGGCAGAGCTCACAAAAAAACGTGACAGAGAAGTGGAACCAAAGCCCTAAAGCCTTCGTAGGCTGCCTCCTCACTCCACCACTTGTTGAGGAGTTGGTCAAGTGTCTTCCGGGTTAGCAATTGTGTCTGTTGCTCGACACCGAAAGCCTCCTGGTTCATTCTGTGACCCATGATAAATTGAATATTGCAAAAAGAGAAAACAAATGCTTCATTAATTATTTAGATGCCACTCTGTGTACTCCTTTATCTAGATTGGCAAGACCGCCTAGGCCAAAAGCCACCCAAGAAAAGACTGATGGATATAACCACACACAGGCTGAGCGTCCTTAATCTAAAAATCCAAAATCCAGATTACTCCAGCAACTGAAACGTTTTTCAGCACAAACACGATGCCACCAGGGGCAAATTCACACCATGAAAAGTTTCATGCACAAAATTATTTAAAATACTGTACAAAATTACCTTCCGTCTGTGAAAACAGTGTGAGACATAAATGAATTTCACATTTAGACCCAGTTCCCTTCCCTAAGATATTTCCTTGTGTATATGCAAATATCCTAATTTTTTTAAAAAAATTCAAAATATTAAATACTTCTATCCCTAAGAATTTTGGATAAAGGGACAATCAATGTGTAGTTTCGAAAAAACTTCCAGACAAAAAAATATATATTTTTTTAAAAGCAAAATCTAAGATGAAGTGAAAACTGAAGAAATTGTGTTTATAAAGAAACTAATGAAAACCTATTTTTCTTACCTTATTAAAAATCTTAAGTCAACTAACATAAAGCAAACAAACTACTAAAAATAGGACATGACAGAATATAATCCTAACTAAATAAACAAATGAATAAGTAACTTCAAATAACTCTTCTTAAATCAAAAAGTAATTTCAACCTCACAATTTCAAACTTGGGAACTATTATAAGATCCTTTTTACATATCCTCGAAAAAAAAAAAAATCAGTTTGATCCTGTCCAGCTGACTGCCAGGTTGCAAGGAAATAGATTCTCTCAGTAAATAAGTGGGATCTCTTTGGAATGTAATTTGCCCAAGCTCATTAGCATTTTAAATGCCCCTAACCTACGATCTGGCTCTTATGCATGCTAAGCACACATTCTACCTCTGCCCATAATAACTGATTTGCTGAGTCTCCTTAAGTCACCGTTTATTTGACATAAGAATATGTATTCTCCACTTGCTTTTAGAGAATGCAGCACAGTGAAGAACATGCATAGGTCAGTCTATAAATACGTGAATAAATAGCATTTGGTCCGAGAGGTAAAGACAGAGGTCGTCCCTCCCGAGAATTCTTTCCTCCAGTTATTGCCAAATCGAGTGCAAGATTAGAAAACAAAGAACCAGACAGGCCCAGCTAAGACCTGAAATAGAACTCAACGTGATGCCTGGGGTCTGGGCGTTTTGCCTTCTCGCCTCTAGATGGCAGCGTCTCGCCCCTTCCTCGGCCTGGCGTGGCCGTCCCAGGGGTTTGCAGCTGGAAGGACCGCGCTTTGCGAGCGCTTTGCGAGCTCGGCGAGCGAGTGGGAGATCTCCAACCACTCCAAGAAGCTCCCGAGGGCAGATCTGCGCCTTCTCGGGTGCATTTACTCTGTACGCCTAGACGCAGGTAACAGCCTTTCCATATGTGAAGTGGAGGAGGGAGATGGGACCTGTTTATGGAGTCTGCACTGCAAATGGGCCAGAAAAATAACAGCTCTTTACCGAGTGCTACCAAGCTCATCCTCCGCTAGGCCATGCCTCGGCCTAACAGCTTCGGAAACACACGTGAGCAAACACACCAGAGGGTGGGCAGACGGTTGGCTGCTGTGCAGGAAGGAGCATGGCTAGGGCCTGCGGGGGTGGGGAGGAGCGCCCTCCAGCCCCTGCCTTCCATCCCCAGCCCCTGCCTTCCAGCCCCAGCCCCTGCCTTCCAGCCCCAGCCCCTGCCTTCCAGCCCCAGCCCCTGCCTTCCAGCCCCAGCCCCTGCCTTCCAGCCCCAGCCCCTGCCTTCCAGCCCCAGCCCCTGCCTTCCAGCCCCAGCCTGCAGCTCCAAGTGGGGGGCCGACCGGCCGTGTGTGCCCAGAGCCTTCTGTCCCCCTCCACCCACAGCTTTAGAAATACACACTAACTGGAAATGAAAGCAATGGTCAGAGAAGTAGGATAAAACCCCAAACTCTGGCAATGGAGCTACAAAGAGATAAATGAATCCTTACAGAAGCAATTCAGATAGAAGACTGGGGGCGGGGGGAACACTCATCAGGAAGAAATGAAATTTGCTATAAGCATAAAACCTAGGTACCAAAATGAAACTGGTTAGCAAATACTTCTTTGTCCTTCCACCTCTTGTCCTGTCTCTCTCCACCTTTCTCTCTCCCTATTTCTCTGTGCTTCTCTGTCTCTCTGATTTTGTCTGTTTCTTTCTGTCATTGTTTCTCTGGGCCTCTCTGTCTCTGCCCCCCCCCTTCACCCACCCCCCACATACACACACTCCAAAGTGTGAGAAAAGACTTGTATTAAATTACTGCACAAATGCTGGGGGATATGGCAGTGACAGACAGGAATGGCTAAAAAAGAGACCCTGCCATCCCCTCTTGCCAGTAAATCTGCCACTGTGGTTTCTCATCTCTCTAGGGGCTCAGCAGAACAGAAGGCTGGGTGTTGGTGTGAACGGCACACGGCTCTCATGGGACTGCCCCAGCGCTGATCTGCAGAAGGTAACTGAAGAAACGCCACCAAGAATCAAGAAACCACACCAGCGAAAGAAGGAGCCAGATGGAAAGGAATGCTTCTGAGCCGATTTTATGGAGGGCTGAGAAAACGCAGCATCTACAAAGGAAAAGGACATGTTTAACACGCTCCGGATTCGAGGTTAAGCTGCAATAAAGATGCAAATCCGATAAGAAATGACCCCAGCAGTTCAGTGCCCAGATCCGCAGGGTTCCGCAATGACAGCCACTTCAGTGCTCACCATTGAAATGAGATGAATATCCAAAATGCTTCCTCCCTGGAGAGAAGTTTTGACAGGTTTAGGAAAATATAAATCTAGCAATCGGCTCAGGACGCTGTGGGAAGGCTAAGCCAGAACTCTGGGAGTCGGGGTTCCCTGCTGCCCACTCACTCACTGCCTGTGAGACCTTAGGTCTGGCTCTCAGCAGGACCAGAGTTTTCTCCCTGTTTTCTTCTTCTTGGAGGCTAAGTGATAGCTCAGGAGGGATGAGAATCCCTGAGTGGAACTGAAGGAGAAGAGGGCTGGAGAAGCTGTTGGGATCCAGAGACAGGAGAAAGAGGCAGTAAAAAGACCACAAAAAACCTCAGGAGAACTAAATTAGAAGGCTTCTAGCAAAATTGCTGTTATTTGGGACAAATTGGTCACTAAGATGGTAAATATGTAGGCTTCAATGTAGCCTGTTTAGGAGAGATTGAACTTAATGCAGAAACCCTATTTTCAAGAAAAAAAAAAGTAGACATGGTCCAATGAATATTTTTTTTCTGATTTGAAAATTCATGTGTGAAAAATTTAAACAAGTCTTACAATGAAGCCATTTGAAGGAGGCCAAGAGAATGTGTGTTCATGAGAGGTTCCTCCTGTGGGCGATGGGGTGAGGTCCAAATGGGGGCTCGGAGACGGCGGGGAAGGAGCCTCAGAGCTGCTGTTCCTGAGGTCCAAGAACCCAGTGTTTTTCCTCCAACTCTTATTAGCCATTGGTCAATGGCTGCCGCTGGTGGTGTTAACTCCCTGGCACTTCTGGCATGTTCTGAGCAAACAGGAAAAGTCTTTAGTTTGGTGCTCCAAGTACAGTTTTCGGAGGGCTCTGAGAACCAGTAGCCTCCACACACACCTATGAGAGAAAGCAGGCTGCCTCCCAGGCCATTATCAAGGGCCCTAATAACACTGGCTTATGAATATACGAGATGAGCCCACAGATAACCACGGCCACCCTGGAATTACTGGTTCCCCAGGATAAGGTCTACTGCTCATCTCTGACTGGCCCTAGGCCCAGGAAAACAGAAATGACAGCGTGGCCTCTGCTCGCTGCTGTGGATGAGTTATTCTGTTCCTCTAACAACCGGCTGGATTCATTTAGGCAATTCGCACTCTGCTCTTTTCTAGACGGATACCTTAACCACATTTTCAACCCTGAGTGGCCAAGTCCACCAGCCCCTGAGATGAAAGGTGACAAGTGCTCTCCCAGCAGAGCCCATCAGCCAAGGGCTTTGACCTTGGGGTTGCCAGCCACAGGGGGCACATTGTTCTCCTGCTTCCTTATTATTTCTGAGGCTGTCTGGGAGCTTCGTCAGCTCAAGCTTGAAATCTTATACATTATGCCTACCTGCTGGCTAAACAAGAGCTGTATTGATAACTTCGTTTGTGGTTTACAGATATTTTACACTTCTTATTTAATCTGCATCCAGATCTGCCCATATACTCCCGTCCCTGTCAAACCTAACAATATTTAAGTGCCTACATTTGCCAATAGCCCGTGTGATCATGTGAATTTTCGCCAATGGCCCAGCTGAGTCTGTGTCTTCATTTGCCTGCTTGGGGTCTGATAATAGATGATCTCTAAACAGAATTTACAGCATTATCAGCTGGAGATTAACAATATCAATCTCATTTTTTCTTTTTCGTTTCACAGCAGCTGCTTTATAACCTGATCTACTTTGTTGTATTTATTGTCTTATTAGTCAGAATATTTGCCATAAATTCAGAGCCATTATACCAGTGGCTCATCCATTGCTCATAAAAAAAAATGCTGTATTACTTCAGCTTCTCAGCTGATAGATACTTTCATAAGAAAACTAGAAAGCTTCCAGCAATGTGTCTGATATATGGCCGCCACCTTTTCCTCACTTCCAAATGATACCAAGGTCTAAGAAAGCAACATGGCTGGATGTGGAATGGATTTTCATGCAAGTGATGTCTTGTAATTTGGGTCTAAAATGTAAGATTCTTGCTTTGAAAGCCGTTACTAACTAATTGGTGAGAAATTATGTCTCAGAGTGCTATTTTATGAATAGTGTTCTTATGTGTTTTCAGAAATATTTAGCAAGTATCAGCCAAGCATCAAGTGCTTCTGGGTCCTGAGCAAAGATGAAAAGTCAGAATTTTCCACTTGAAAGAGAGCAGATGTCCCAGAAAAGGCAGGAGACACATGTACAGGCTCATAGGAATAAAACCCATGAACTCAGGATGTTCAAATGCCTCCATTCTTCTGGGGCATGAAGAGAGGAGCAGGAATGGTAGAGATATTCTGGAAGGTGGTCAGGAGTCAGGGAAAAATCAATCTTATGTGCCCTAGAAGGATCCTGGTTGTTGTGTTCTCAGTAGTGAGCACCCACAGAGGATGTGCAAGGGTGACCAGCTTTTTATATAAGAAAGATGACCCCTCTACAGTGTAGAGAGTATGACAAGAGGCAAGAAGCTCAGTATGAAGACCATTTCAGTGATCTGGAGGAAAGGCGAAGAGAAGAAAAGAGATGTGGAAATTACACATAATGCAGAACAGATAGGACTGAATGTATTAGTCAATTTTCTGTTACTATAATGAAGTACCTGCAGCTGTTGCTTTATAAAGAAAATAGGTTTATTTAGGTCACTGTTTTGGAAGTTCGGGGGCATGATTCTAGCATCAACTTGACTCTTGTGAGGATCTCACGGTGGATGGCATCACAATGGTGGAGTGTAGGAAAGGAAAGATTACATCACAAGACAGGAAGCCAAAGAGAGACTGGGGTCCCCTGGGAACTAAGTTGATTTCCTCCAAGGACAGTGCCTCCCAGGGACCTAAGGGCTTCCCACTAGGCTCCACCTCTTAACGGTCCCACAACCTCTTAGCATTGCTACACCAGACACCAAGCTTCCAACACATGAACCCTTGGGAGACAAACCTCATCCAAACCACGGCATTGAAGAAAGAATGAGATTTGTAGTCTTAGACGGAGTCAAATCCATAACACTCAAGTTTCAAGCTTGGGCAAGAGGTGAATGTCGAAGTGCTTTGTGAAAATGGGGGATAGAGGAGCAGGAGCAAAATCGAGGAGAAGACAAAGTGTTTATCCATGAGCACCTTGAACTTCACATGCCTCAGGGTCTTACAAGTAACTGCCATGCCGAGGATAGGAGCAATATCTCCGTGAAAACTGAATGCTTGGTATTCATGAGCAGAGTAGCTGAATTTGAAGTCATAAGAGTGAATAAAATTGCCCAATTTTGTAGAACGATAAGGGGAGGGAGAGCTGAAGATTGAGCCCATCCTTCACAGATTACACAAAGGAAATTGGGCAAGGTCTATGAGGAAGCCCGGAAGAGGTAATGGCCTAGAGATTTACAAGTAACTCTTACAAAGATGGTGTACCAATGGCCCAGTGCACCAATCATCCGTGAACAGACCAGCCTTGTTTCTTTCCTGTCTCAGTCTACCTTCTCCTCCCAGATTCTTTGGAACAAGTCCCAGGCGCTGTAGCATGACATCCCTAGGCATGCAAGCGTCCAGCCGTGCAAGACAGAACACTTTTTACACATAACCTCGTTGTTTGTGTTTTGTGGGCCTCCGTAGGCTTCCGTTGTCTGAAGGAATGTTCTTTTAATCCCATTCTCTGTTTTCTTGTGAAACTTAGAATGATCCAACCATGCTCTGTTGCTGTTGTTTTTTTGTGATTATGAGTAATATTCTGGCACAAAGAGTTTTCCTGCACTTGTCCCCAGGAGAGAGCTCCAGCGTAGCTTTTCTTGTGTCTGTTGTTATTGCAAAAGTGGACAGAAATGATCGAGTGTAGGTACATGCATGATGGCATGAATGGTGTGACTCTACTTTGTGTACAGAGAAGTGAAAAGGTATGCTCCATTTGTGTAGTATGAATCAAAGTGCATTCTGCTGCTAGAACAAATAAATTTTTAAAAAATGATCAAGTGCTCTCTCCACTTTGCCTTCTCTGCATTTCCTTTTTTTAATCAACAAAAATTATTGTTTGTTGGGGCTGGGATTGTGGCTCAGTGGTAGAGC